CCACACAGCCAACAAAAAAAAAAAAAAAAAAAAAAGGGGGGGGGGGGGGGGGGAAGGTTCAATAAGTATAAAGGAATTAATAAAACTTTAGAAGAAGACTGGGTGAGAAGGGTCTCACTCTCTGCTGGTACACCCTCTATCTCCCTGCTCCCAGTTTAATCTGATCTTGTGGAGCCAGGGTCTGTCCTTGGGGGCCTTCACACCATTGTGGATGCTGCAGAGGTACTGGGACCCACCCCAATCCCACAACTCCTTAGGGATGCAGAGCTCCCTTTGCCAGCGGCATTCCCCCGCAAGGCCCACAGGCACTCCATGCTTGACTGCTCTGCAGGGGGAGGAAGAAATACCACCAGCAAGCAAAGGTTGCCTGCAGTCCCCTACCTTTGCCGATTGCTGGACCAGAAAGCCTACGCAGGTGGCGCTGCCTTTGCTCTGCCAGGAGAGAGGAAGAGGAGGCTGGAGGCAGGCACAGGAGGGCCAGGCAGCTAAGAGCAGAACACAAGAGCAATACCACAGATACTGCAATACTGTGGTAACATCGATGCCTAAACATTGTGGTATGATATAGCTTAGTATCAATATATTGCTTATCACCTGTCTACACTGCAGCAACAGAACAGACAAGCAAACCCTGGGCTGAATTAAATTTAGCAACTGGAGGTTCCCATGGCAATGAAGCTGCAGCAGCACTGATTTCACCGAGGGCAAACAAGTCAGACAAGTATCTTGATTCCAAAGCAGGGTTTCACAGTCCACCTTGACTCCTGTACCACCAAAACTCATAACAAACAAATGGCAGAGAAGAACAAGAAAATAATTTTCTACAGGAAGGAAGAGATCATCTTTTTTTCTCTGGTGGATTTCCAGAGGGAACTGTTATTTCCCAGATCCAACCCACGGGCTCCACTTGAACCTTAGATACAGGTGGTATGCTCTATTAAAATAAACCTTTTTCACCTCTCCCAGTTTGCTAAACCACAGTAAAGCAGCTGTCTGTTAATGGTCAAACTTTTCTTCAGAATCCTAACAGACGCGTAAGAAAGAGCTGAGGCCTCATTTTAAAGACTGCTTTGATCACAGTCTTTGGCAAAAGACGGTAATGCCCTACGTGCCCTTTCCCCATGTACTTTGTACAATTTCTCTGGCATCAGAGAGGCAAAGCAAGCTCCCAAGGCAAAGACCTGTGCTGCTCCAAACCTACCCAGGATGATCAGCCATGAATACTGACCTCTCACGCTCACACCTTGCTTTTCTCTTCCCCTCTCCCAAGTTTATTGAGCTCCTTTAATGGTTAGTGACTGATGCTGCTCCGACACACAGCTTTTTGCAGGGACCAAATACCTAACACCAGATTCCAAATCTGAATCAGAAGCTGATTGTGTCTACCCGGATAGCTTAACTCTGACCACTAAAAGGCATCACATGATACATCATGCAAAGCACATATGTGCATGAGACACACACTTCCAGGTTATTTCAAACTTGGGAAGTTGCAGAGCTCCAGCTCCAGTCCACTGGAATAACAGGACAGTACTCACAGTCAGAGTCCTTACATCACAGTGCACTTTGTGCTTGAAAGCATTCAGAACTAAAATTTGGGACAGGAGCATCTCCTACTCAAGCTTCTTTTATGAGAAAGTGACTCACAAGCCAAGCTTATGCAAACAAATCTATTCATCATCCTCCAACTCAGACCAGTCACCCGAACTCCCAGTTCTACTTCCACAGCTAAGCTCTTTCTCTTTTATTTACTCTTCTCCAACTTTCTATCTATAGGCACCTGTTTTTCCTTTCCTTATCCAGTTATAAATAAGGGCAGAGAAGGAGAAGAAGGGGAAAAAAATCCCCTAAAGCTAATAAATTGAAAATACTGAAAAAATACCTTAAATTGCTTTTTAAGCATAGTTCTGCCTGCTGTTAAGGAATGATTGCTGTAAAGCACATGCAGACTACCATCTTTTATTGTACCGCAAACAGCAAAAGCTCTCTTCCTGGCTTTTTTCCATTCTCCTACTTTCTGTATATAATCTTTCTAACCTTTTCTAGAACACAAAAAGAAGAAGGTGTATATGGACATGCTTTGGAAGTCAAAATCCACAGGCTAGGAGCATGACTTCCATGATCTTCTCCTGAAGTTAAGGAAGAAGAACAAGTAATGCTAAGCATGAAACAAGATCATCTGAGCTATTTAATTTAGCAAACACAGGTCCAGAACCTGCAAAGCCACCAGAAAGATGCTTAACTGAGTTTTAACATATTTTAAATCCTTTGCAGGATCAAGGCCTCAGTCACAAACCAAAAGGATATCTCCCAACTAGGTTTTGTTTTTTTTTCACTTGTTCCGACATGACAAGTAAAAGATAAAATCCTCCTGAACAATAATCTATTCTTCCCAAGTAAATAACATATTCACCCCTGCCACGTAACCTCATTTTGATTCTGTATTACTACACGAGGATATCACCAGTCTCACATAGACTCAGATTTAGTATTGAACAAAACCTGATATTCTTGTCAGAAATTTAATACATAAGAGTTTGAGAAAAACAAAAGCCTCCCGGCAAGTGCATTACAAATGGATTCATGAATAATTTAGGACAGCACTTTTTATTAACTTTCTCTAGGTTAATCTTTTCACGGGGCTTGTCCACACACAAAAGTCCTACATCTAACTACAGTGATAACAGTACCATTACACTGCTTGACCCAACCCTTTGTAATATTTTCATGTAGGGCATTCAGGGTGCAATGCAAATGCTTGGGACTATCTAGCTCACTCCTGCAGAGAAACAAGAATGCGTAAATGTAGTACAGCGTCCTCACAGCGACACAACTCTGTCCACATGGGAATTTGTTGCAATACTGCCATTCCAGTAAAAATAAATTTCATGACCCACGCATGAGTGTAATTTTCCTGTGTAGATGAGGCCTCAAGTTAAGTTATGCTGTTAGGGCAATTTTTATTAAATTTCAGTTTAAATTGCAGCCCTCCAAAATAGAGAAAAAAATCCACATTTTTAGACCAGCAGCTTTAGCTCTGTTGGAAGGTGAGACAGGAAAGACCTGGTACCAGTACCTCAACAGCATGAGGACCATTAGCTTCCTCCAGCAGTTGAAAGGGTGGATGATGAGCCATCGCCCCAGTGGGCTGCTGGTGCAGAAGCAGTCAGCCCTGGGCTGCACCATCCCCAGGAGGGCCAGGCAAAAAGTTTTTCAGGAGTGTTCAACAGAGGGCATGGACCTACTCCCAGAAGTTGCGGAAAAGGCAGGCTGCCCTCCAGTGTGTTTACCAAAGGGCTTGGAGGTCAAGGGGGTGGTTACGTTACAGTATATTGAGCAAAGGAAGTTAATCTGCATCCAGAGTGTTTTAATAACTGAAGAGGCTACAAACACCCAACACACTCAACTGCAGCAGTTTGGTTTGTAAAAGCAGACGAGCACCGCTCTTATGGCAATTAGCAAAAAAGAGACTTCTGCCTTGTGTTCAGGTTTCACCCAAGATGCTGCAGTCCTCTTGGCAATGAGTCATTTAGTAAAAGGCTTTTATCCATAAGAATAAGCAAGAATCAGCAATGAGTTCTGCTGTTTTGCCCATACGCCACCATTGCTTTCTGCAGAGATGTGGCCCAGGTGTCTCAAGCCATGCCTAGGTGCCTGCCATGGCCGTGGCCACAAAAGTTACCCCACACTGGTAAGAGATGCCTGCCAAGTCCAGCTACGAGCTGAGGCAGGAGCAGTGAGACAAGAAACACTTTGAACTATCCAATCCCTCCTGCAACACTCAAGCACACCATGTCCCTTTCCAATGTTTGCCAGGGACCCCCCGGGAACATAGACTTCTGTTCTCAAGCGATGTAGCAGATCAGTCAGCTACTTTTAATTTGAAGGACCAATTTAGCATTATCCTTTCTGTGCCCCCAGGATCATTCTGGCCACACTACACGGTCATCTGCTGCCGATGGCATCCCTCAGGTCCTGAGCCACGGACATGCTCTCTGAGCAAAGCTCACAGTAACGTTGCCTTGCCGCGCAGGAAAAGATGCGAGTGCGTGCACAGTACATCATGGCAAAGGGCCATATGTTTTTGTATAACACCCGTGTGGGAAACACCTGCAACCCTTTCACCTTGTTCATAGTGCTGTTGTCAATTCACAGGAGACTTTGATCTCCCTATCTATTATCACTCCCATGTATTACAAACACATCACATTAATCACAAAACACGTATATGCTGTTAGGCAATAAACAAGGCTTTGTTTTCTCTGCTGCAGTGTGGTAAAGTACACAAAGATCATCTGGAAAGCTAAACGAAAATAGAAAATTTTATTATCTCTATCTTCCTCAGGGAAGAGCAAA